TAGCTACCTTAATTTAAAAGTTTCATTCACAGCCGGGCTCGGTGGCTCAGCCTATAATCCCGCGCCTTTGGGAGGCTGAGGTGAGTGGATTGCCTGAGCCCACGGTTTCAAGACCTGCCTGGGCAGCGATACCTCATCTCTACAATAAATCAAAAAATCAGCTGGGCGTGGTAGCGCATGCCTGTAATTCCGGCTACTCAGAAGGCTGAGGCGAAAGGATCGCCGGAGCCCAGCAGGTCAAGGCTGCGGTGGCTGGGAGTGGCCACTGCACTCCAGTCTGGGTGACACAGAGTGAGACTCCAACTCAAAAAAAAAAAAAAGTTTCATTCACATGAAAACCTTTTAATTTTTTCTGGAACCATACCTTAATTTCCATCAGATGGTTGTGTGGTTTACCAGAATTCGTGATTTGACTGAGGTGAGGGCATTTTTAGAGAGTATGCTATGTGATAACCTAATCCTGAACAGCAAGGGCTGGGAGTGAGCCTAGTAAAAAGGGTGCTGCTCCCTGAGAAGACCTGTTGGATGGCATGATCTGATTATCAGTATTCAAGATTTGCAATGTTTGCTGAAGATGACAGTGATGTCTTAGTTGATATGACAGACATATTACAAGACTAGATTGTTTTTTAAAGCCATTTTGTATCAGTCTATCGGGAGGCATTGGCTTTTCTATTTCCTGACATGAGGACTCATCTCGTAAATCTTAATAGTAGATCAGATGTTTCAGAATGAGTTTTTAAAAAGGGATTAAAACACAGTCATGATTCTTACAACATTCTTAAAGTGTCTGTTCCTTTTGAGAAGCACTGAGCTAATGTTTTGGCTTTCTATGCAACTCATTCTTCTTCCTAGTGTATAAGTACAACAACACTTTTTATAATGTTGAAATGTTTTGAAAACTTAATGTTTTGTGCCATTTTATGCTATTTTCTTTTATATCGTCACATAGTTACTCTATCGTAATTAAATTCATCCAGTAAAGTTGCTATTTAATTGAAAGGACTAATTCATTGTATTTAATAATCTGAAGCCTTGATAAGACCTACCATCATCTTAGGTTACTGAAATCGTCGGTGAAGTCATAGGATTTCTAGGTTTTAGAGGGATTTATTCCATAGGAACGGTTCTATAAAACAGAGGTGGCCAGTCATCGAAGAAAGACTTGAAAGTTGTCAAATGTAAATTCTTTGATGCTATACTGCCAGTTTCCAATTTAAGAAAGTGTTAAATTAAGGAATACATTTCCCCAGAAACAATATAAATGGTAATTTGCCTGGATAGCACCCCTGTAGTGCCCTCCCCTAACCCCATCAACCCCTGGAAATTGGAATGGAGGCACAGAATAAGAAAACCATACTAGCATGCATGACCAGGAATCAGAAGCCTTGGAGTGTGCTCTTCGCTCTGTCACCAACTCTATGTCATTATGTATAAGTCATTTGACTCCTCAGGCCTTCAGATTACTCATCTATAAAATGAATGGATTGGCAAGATCATTCCCCATGTTCTTTTAAACTCTGATGTCATGTGATTGGGATTTTCTGATTCCTAGGTCAGCATCTGGGCAGGGATTTGGATGGCAGAGCTGTGTAGGTGGCCAGGCACTTTGTACTTACAACATTTTCATATTTTTGTGAGTTACTCATCAATTCAAATAGGATAACCAAGAGCAGTTACACACTCTCACAAAAAATTTTGATACTCTTAAAGCATTTTCAGTTTTATCACAGAGATCTCTGAAAAAGTCCTATTGTGCCCCTTTGGCATCAGTCGGTCATTCTTTAAGCACTTCATTATCTTCTGGTGCAAATAGATGATCCAGGCTTATCTTGTAATTTCCCTGTCCCAGCCCTAGAGTCAGTCAATTTCCCAAGGATCTGATCTCGTTGAGGGATGGGATTAAGTGTGCCAAGTGAGGTTTTCTTGCTTTTGGTAGGCAGAGCTAGGAAATATATGAAAGTTGTATAATACCTCTAGTTCCAATTCACCACTACAGGGCTTTTCCTCTTCTTCCCACATGTTAGGTTTTGTGTATGCCTTCTCCCGCAGCATGCGTCATGAATCCTAGCAACATCACTATATTTACTCATTTGCCCAGTGCTACAGTTCATAAAAATAGCTTCAGAATTTTCACCAATTCTACCAACACTCAACACTAAACCTACTTCATAAAATTCCAGGGTTTTTTTTTTTTTTTTTTGCAGTTCTCTTTACCTTAAGAATATATCCTGATGGAGATGTAAATTCATGTACTCTTAAAGAGGTTACTCTTTGCTGTAGTTTGTCTAGGTACCTCTCCCTCCCTCCTATGCAGAGGAGATACTCAGTAAGTGCTTGCTGAGAGGCAGTCTGTGCCCGTCTTTGAATGTTTCTATCTAATAGTACTTTTCTAACTTAAATTAATTACGATTTCTGTAGGAGTTAAGTGTCATTAACCTACCAAAAAATTAATAGTCTGAACAATCATATGTATAAATAAATAAAATACATGATGTGACATTAATAACTATATGATACATAATTTTATATAACAGTAAATACATAAATAAAATAAGTCATATAGTTATCAAACCCTATTATATAAACCCTTAGATATTAAACTCATTTTTAATATATATGTTCATGTAGTCTTTAATTGTTTATTGCTTAATATATAATTTTAACTTCCCAGAACTTATGGTTCCTTGTATTCTGGTCTCAATTTCAGCCAGTGTTTCACATTGGGATAATTAGGTGATGAGAAAGTGTGGGTTTCAGCTTTATTTTTATTTTAATAAGTTGGAGGCATACAAAAGTCATATTTGTGATTTTTCTTTGGTGGCGTCATAAAAGACTAAGGTTTATAAATTCTAGATAAGTGTTTAAAAAAATAACAAAACCAAGCCGGGCTGGGTGACTCAGCCTGTAATCCCGCACCTTTGGGAGGCTGAGGTGAGTGGATTGCCTGAGCCCGCGGGTTCGAGACCCGCCTGGGCAGCAAGACCTCATCTCTACAATAAATCAAAAAATCAGCGGGCATGGTAGCGCATGCCTGTAATTCCGGCTACTGGGAAGGCTGAGGCGGAAGGATTGCTGGAGCCCAGCAGGTCGAGGCTGCGGTGGCTGGGCGCGGCCACTGCACTCCAGTCTGGGTGACAGAGTGAGACTCCAACTCAAAAAACAACAACAACAGCAACAACAAAAAAACTGATGGAACAAACACTATGGGCTAGGTATGGGAATAGTAGGCTAGTGAGAGGAGCAAGTTAAGTGGGAAGATAGCATTGGGTAGAGAGAAAAGTATCATGATAAATGTATATTTGAACTTAGGACAATGAAATAAATCTAAGAAGTATACACTGGGGAAACTGAATTTTCTAGTACCCAATATAATTGTGTCATCTGTTCTTTTTTTGCTAAAACTTTTTAAAAAATGATTCTTCTTTAAAATAACTGTTTTTATTTAAAAAGTAAGTTTTAGTCAGCCAAATTGAAAGAAATTATTCCTTGGTATTATGTGTCAGTGATAAGGAGAAAATACTAATGTCGGTGCAGCTAAATGCTATTCATGTAGTAACATATAGTAAAATCATATAGTAAAGAGAAACAGCTATCATATATTAAGTAAAACATTTTTAATTTTTTTAGAGACAGGGTCTTGCTTGCTCTGTCACCCAGGCTGGAGAGCTGTGATGCAATCTTAGCTCACTGTAGCCTGGGCTTAAGTGATCCTCCTGCCTCAGCCTCCTGAGAAGCTGGGACTGCAGACATGTGTCACCACACCTGGCTAATTTAAAACATATTTAGTACAGACAGAGTCTTACTACCTTGCCCAGGCTGGTCTTGAACTTCTGGGCTCAAGCGATCCTCCTGCCTTGGCCTCCCAAAGTGTTGGGATTACAGATGTAAGTCACTGCTCCTAGTTATGTAGTCATATATTAAAGAAAATATAAGTTTGAAACATTTCTCCTTTTCTTGAAATGATCACTGTACCTTTAAACCGGAAATATATTTAAAAGCCTAAGATTCTGGGTGCAGTGACCCACGCCTGTGATCTCAGCACTTTGGGAGGTGAAGACGACAGGATTACCTGAGCCCAGGGGTTTGATACCAGCCTGGGCAATTTGATGAGACTTCAACTACAGTAAATTAAAAAATTAGCCAGGCGTGATGGCCCAAACTGGTAGTTCCAGCTATTTGGAAAGCAGAAGTGGAAGGATCACCTGAGTCCAGCAGGTCAAGGCTGCCGTAATCATGAGTGTGCCGCCGTAATCATGAGTGTGCCACTGCACTCCAGCCTGGCTGACTCATAAATAAATAAGTAAATAAATAAATGCCTAAGAGGCCTTTAAAGGTTTCTTAAGGTATAGTTAAACTGCCTTTAAAGTATTTTTGAGGTATTTTAAAAATAAAGCAAGACTCTAAGAGTATTTTTATTTGATTAATTTGAATGTTCATATTAAATATATATATGTTTTAGATCTTATTAATTATATTTACTCATCTTTTTATTATTTTGTGGGACCTTTTTTTTTTGAGTTGGAGTCTCACTCTGTCACCCAGACTGGACTACAGTGGTATACTCATGGCCACCAAAGTCTCAACCTGCTGGGCTCAGGTGATCCTTCCGCCTCAGCCTTCCAAGTAGCTGGAACTATTAAGCACACGCCACCACTCCCGGCTAATTTATTTGTTTATTTATTGTAGAGATCAGGTCTCGCCAAGTTGCTCAGGATGGTCTTGAACCCATGGGCTCAGGCAATCCTCTCACCTTGGCCTCCCAAAGTGCTGAGATTATAGGTGTGAGTCACCGCGTCTGGCCCAGCAGGCCTATTTAAACTTAAATCTCTAAGCAGAGCCTTCAAGAATATTTGGTAATTCTAGCAACTTTTATTTGCATAGATATTTTAATAGATAATAGGAAGCAATGGCTAGAGTAGCTCAAATTTTTTTATCAATGATTTTTTAAAAGCTAAAATACTTTGAAAGTAACTTTTTGTATTTTTATTACAGGTAAATTGGGATATTCACAATGTACAGAAACAGAGGTAAGTGAAATGCCTAAATGTTTGTTAATAAAGCAACTTTGCAATCCTGTTAAGACTAATTTGAGTACTAAAACTATCTCACTAAAGGGTCTTGGTCTTCTGATAAGGCTATGTTGAGAGCAGGTATATATTTTCCATATTTAGGAAGGGTAAAATGTGAAGAAAAATTAGTTACCTTGTCCATTACTTTATAATGTCAGGATGTGTTATAAAGAATAGATTAATCAGTGTTTTAAAAGTTTATTGTATTATTATTTAAGGAATCAAGTTAGCTAAGATCCAGAGCCATTAATAAGAATTAAAATTCAATTTTTTTTTTGTAATTCATTGTAGTTAATTCATTCAGCTATATGTGTTGGACTCCCATAGAACTGCCTTAGTTTAGGAAAAAGATAGGGACTTGGAAATAGTGTTTAGTAAGATTAATAATGAGTTACACGCTTTGTTATTTATGTAAGCAATCTTATTATTTTTTAATAATTTAAATAAATTTTATTCAGATTTCTTTTTGTGGCATTTAAGGAGTTTCTGTGTATTCCTTGCAGGAATTTCAAGCCTGACACTCAGATACTAGGGCAGCATGAATGTGTGATGTTCTTTCCGCTAGCAGTTGCATTATCCTTAGGTTGGGATGTTAGATATTTTGTTAATGACAGTGCCTAAACAAAGGATTTAAGAAGTTATATTTTTAATTTTATAATGCATCTACATATTGATGTAGGTTTTAGTAAATTTTATCTGTTGAAATGCAGGCTTCTTAAGGAATTATGTTTTATTATAGAGAAACAAAAATAATGTATCCTTTTTTGCACTCAATTTATTTTTATATTTTCTATTCGTCTTTGAAGGTAGAAATAATTTTTTCCAAACTAGTTCAAAAAATAGACAAGAACTTAATACTTTTATATATCTAGAATTTTTGGTGAACTTGTCAGTATGATTTACGTAGTGGGCTTTTGAGTCAGAAGATACAAGTTCTATTTTGTGGTTTCTGGGTATGCATCTTTCTAGCTTTGCAGTTTTGAGCAAGTATTTTTTCTCTTAGAACTTTTTCTTATCTATAAAATGGTAATGATAATCTGTATTAATCTCATAAGGTTTGTGAAATTCTAAAGATGCTATATATGAACATGTTTCATAAACTCTATAGGCACTGTTGTAAATTAAGATGGTATAAATATAGTCAGCATTCACCTGCATTTAGGTAATAATGAAGATTTTTACATACAAGGCATAGTTATGTCTCATTATTCTGTCTTATTATGTTGTATTGTCATAAAATCAACGTGATTTTAACTTTAGTTTAATACTTTGTACAGAAGTGTCAATTCATTTTATCTCCTAATTGATAGCCCTTATACTTTGATCCATAACTTAGGTCACCAACGGAATTGTAATCTAACGAAATAGCATGCTTTTTCAGATTTTTTTTTTTTTTTTTTGAGTTGGAGTCTCACTCTGTCACCCAGACTGGAGTGCAGTAGCCGCTCCCGGCCACCGCAGCCTCGACCTGCTGGGCCCCGGCGATCATTCGGCCTCAGCCTTCCAAGTAGCTGGAACTACAGGCGTGCACTACCACGCCCGGCTAATTTTTTGATTTATTGTAGAGATGAGGTCTCGCCAAGTTGCCCAGGTGGGTTTTGAACCCGCAGGCTCAGGCAATCCATTCATCTCAGTCTCCCAAAGCGCGGGATTACAGGCTGAGCCACTGAGCCCGGCTCACAATTTTTTTTTTTAAACAACTATTTTAAGGGGCAGATCATAAGAAAAAGTTCAATCTAATTTATTTTTAAAATAGGTTAAGGGTATTTTCTAGCGGATACCTCTCGGGAGCAGATTGGGATTGTGAATCGTCATTTATCTATATTGTTTGAATTTTTTTTTCAAATAAGAGTGTCCTGTGTATTTGGTAATTAAAATAGTAAAAAAGCAAGAGTGAAAAGGCAGTAGAGGCAGTGGAAACTACTTTTTTCCAGAAGTTTGGTAACATGAAAGAAGGAAGAAATAGCATAAGTAGGAAGAATTTTGTTGTTGCTTTGTTTTTTAGGTTAGAGAAGATGGTACATTTGGTGGTGGGTGAGACAGCTAGGAGACAGCAAGACAGAAAGTCAGGGTTCAGGAGTAGATCTCCAATGGAGCAGATGCGGGAACACGTGGGAGATGATGATTACCCAGAGTAGTGTTTCTTAGAACTGAGGGTGGTCTAGGGCTCTGGGGTCCCTGAGATCCTCTCTGTGTCTGCAAGGTCCAAACTATTTTCATGTACATATTTGCCTTTGTACTTTCATCTCTTAAGAGTGTACCATGGAGTTTTTGGTGACTGCATGACAAGGACTGTCAGACTGACTGCAGAAGCAGATATGAGACCTGGCTACCTGTCATTGAGCCTGACATTAAATGGTTTTGCAAAAATGTAAAACAATTCTGCCCTTATCGCTGCTTGTTTTGTTTTTTAAAAAATAAAGGTTTTCCCCCCATAAAATGTTATTAATATGTAATGATTTTAAATGAATCAGTAAGTATCTTTAAAAATCCTTAGTTTAATTTCTAATATAACAAATGTTGGTAGATTATACACCATGTAAACAAAAGCTCTTTGGACTGATAAGTAACTTTTTAGAGTGTAAAGAGGTTCTAAAACTAAAAAGTTTAAGAGCTGTGGGCTCGAGCATGGATGGCAGAGGTACTTCTTTCTAAGAAACAGAATTGTAGGATGAAAGGAAACTCCAGAGTCCTGGAATAGGCATCAGAAGGTTCAGGAATCTTTGCCCTGTGGACTTACGTCCATCTTTTTTGCTAGCAAGAAGACAGACTCATTTCTGAAAGTGAGCCCATACTGGATCAAAAGGGGGACTGCTATAGCCTCTCTTGGCTCTTGTTTCTCTATTGAGCAGAGAGGGTTCCAGTTCCCTGTGTAAGGGAAACACCTCATTGAGCTCTTGCCAACGTAAGTCCAGACTCAGAGCTGTGAGGATGGAGTGGCCCTGGAAAGAATGGGGCTGGTCCATGTTCTGGGGCAGGCTGTAGCCTTTCTGAACCCAGAGAGGCCTTGTGGGGTGGCCTTTGTGCCTGATCTCAGCTCTTGGCACCACTCTTTCCTTCTCATGTCTCTACCTCCGATTCCCCATCCGGTCGGCTTGTTGTGAAGGTAGAGCACTTAGCACTTAGCCACAAACCTGGCTTCATACCTGCAGCATATTATCACTCCTAGTTGGGAGGCATAGGGTTTCCTGGGAGGGAGGAGAAGTCTTAAGCAAGGGTCTCACAGACTTGTTGGGGAAAACAAAATCCCTTCATCTTTCTGGAGTTTTAGGACCCTTATCAAGTTATATAGTTGAAATAGAGAACATTAAAGGTTCAGCTGTTTTTATTTTAATAGTTTTTGTAGTACATAAAAAATCATTTTATAAACTATTTTGTAGTTTTACTTATAATTCTTTTTAATATTTTTCCTATATTCATAAAAATCAAACTAAAATTGAGTTTAGAGAAAGCAAGAAGACCGTACATAGGCATTTGATAGACCTGCCTATTACATGATCTTTTTCACCTCTAAGATTGGCTAATATTTCTGCTATTTGGAAATTACCTTCTCACTGTTTGGAAAATTAATGTGCTTGATTATACTAATATTTTCCAATATTTGAATTGATGAAGGGAAATCTCTCATATGATTTGTTTTAAAGGACATGCAAATTTTTATACTTTAATAGGCAATTTAATTTTGCCCTTTCTTACTATTTTTTGAAGGCATAATTTATTTACATACAATAAAATGTACCCCTTTTGTCTGCATTTCTTCCAGTTTTTTTTTGTTTGTTTGTTTGTTTTGAATTGGAGTCTTACTCTGTCACCCAGACTGGAGTGCAGTGGCCGCTCCCGGCCACCGCAGCCTCGACCTGCTGGGCTCCGGCGATCCTTCCGCCTCAGCCTTCCCAGTAGCCGGAATTACAGGCATGCGCTACCACGCCCGGCTGATTTTTTGATTTATTGTAGAGATGAGGTCTCGCTGCCCAGGCGGGTCTCGAACCCACGGGCTCAGGCAATCCACTCACCTCAGCCTCCCAAAGGTGCGGGATAACAGGCTGAGCCACCGAGCCCGGCTTTCTTCCAGTTTTGACAGACATATTTTGTTATTAACTGTTCCCACAATCAAGTTTCACACTCCCTACGTTCCCCCATACCCCTTCGTAGTTATACCTTCCCCTTCTCCCATACCTTGGCAACTGCTGATCTGTATGTTGTTCTTACTGTTTTGAAGAGGACATGCAATTTAAACAGTATGTGACCCATATTTCTCCCTTCCCAGGAGCGGCTCACAGCCCAGACTAGTAACTTATAAACTCTGGAACGACTAACTGGTATTCGTGGGCACTCTGCTGTCAGGGAAGCAGTTCTGATAGAGATTTAGGGCAGCTTTTACTCCCGTCTTAAATGTTTTTTCTGCTAATATTTAAATAGTTTTGTGGAACATAATCTTACCTTTGAAGAAATTTGCTAAGTATTTAAAAATACTAAAACATGACTAATTTGAACTTTCCTGTATTTTAACTGAAGCTTCTTTTTTTTTTGGTTTCCAAATTTCATCACGTTCCTGTCTCTTATTAACCACCACTCATTATATAGCCCTCAGAGGCCCTTTCCCAATAGCAGGAAAGAAGGTTAAATGAATAACTAGAACAATCCTCTTGTTCCCTTGGTGGATTAGCTATATTTTAAGTGGAATAGGTTAAAGTATTATATGAAGTTACATTAACTTTTATCATTACTTTAATCTTAATAGAACTGGCTTATAAAAATCATACCGTAGCAGAAACATTTACGTTTTAGTGAGGGAAACTATTCAAAAGATTCATGCTCACGTCTTAAAAAATAAAGTTCTTATATACTATGCATAAATACCTATTCTGTGTTTCATTCCTGCATACATCTTTAAGAAATACTTCAGAAGTCACTATATGCTAGGTACTGTTATAGACATTAATTAAAATCCTCATAAC